GACTGGGGTCAATAAAAGGCCACCCCAAAATGTCAATTTTGTCATGTAATAATGCCTCAGATGTCGCAAGTTATGCGGGAGTGTGCCATTGGTATGTTGGATGCAGGGATGTCTACCAGAGCAGTAGCTGCATGGTTCAATGTCTATTATCAGACCATAGCCCATTTGAGAGTTTGTTTACAACAGACTGGCGCTACTGCAAATCGACCTCATCCTCGTAGGCCACGTGTGACCACTCCAGTACAAGATCGCCACATCTGGCTCGTCCATCTGTGGGATCGACTAAGACCAGTGACACACAGACAGCTGATGAGACTATTGGTCTGCACAACAGACGCATCACACCTCTGACTGTCCGTAACTACCTACGAGAAGCCAATTTGCATGCTTGGCGCCCTCACCATGGTCTGGATCTCACTGCTGTCCGGCGTAGGAACTGACTCACATGGGCGAATGCACATGTCCGATGGCCCTTGGCATGCTGGAGAAGAGTGATGTTCACGGATGAATCCAGGTTCCAGTTGTATTGTGCAGATGGAAGACAGCATGTCTGGCGACATGAGTGAAGGGTTTACACATGCAAATGTTATGCCCAGGGTTACCCATGGAAGTGGTGGCATTATGGTATGGTTAGGCATCACATACGGGCATAGAACACCATTGCACTTCATTGAAGGGAACCTTAATGCACAAAGATATTGGGACGAGATTCTCACCCCAATTGTTGTACCGTTTATGTACCAGCATGACATCACCTTTCAACATGACAATGCCCGACCTCATGTTGCTCGCATCTGCATGGGATTCCTTCAAACAGAGGACACTGAAGTTCTGGACTGACCTGCATATTCGCCAGAAATGTCCCCAATAGAGCATCTTTGGGATGTTCTGAATAGACGCATCTGGGATTGTGTTCCAGTTCAAGGCAATGTGGGTCAGCTCCGCATGGCACTCCAGGAGGAATGGAATAACATTCCACAGGCCACCATAGACAATCTGATCAACTCCATGCGAAGAAGATGTGTTGCTCTGAGAGATGCAGCTGGCAGACACACAAGATACTGAAAAATCAAATTCCTCAACCTGACCCCTATCATGTTCAAAGGACTGTCAATCCGTTACAAATGGCCATGCCACAATGTTACCTTTGTCTATATGTTGCGTAACACAAATGTTCATAAAACTCTTGTATTTGACATGGGGCATTTATATTTTGTACATAAGGAAATAAAACCTTCAATTTTATTGTACACCCTAGACATTCACTTATAACATCCTGATGACATTTACATATAGAGATTTGGGGGTGGGCATTTCATGGCATGCAGGAGGCGAGGTGAAAATCAGTCTTGCCACTGATGCCTCTGCCCACTCCCAATGGTTGCTTGTAGACATTTAGGATTTTTGGCTAGAGTTGGGGTGAGGGAAGAACAGGCAACATGCTGGCCTCTGCCCCTTTTTCTTCCCCATTTGAACTGCACTATAAAACACATCAACAGCACATCTGAGGGTGGAGGTGTGTGTGTATGGGTATTTTTTACAACCCCTGTTCCCCATTTTCCATTTGGGGATGGGGTCCAAAGGAGGGGTGGACTTCTGTGGGGGGCCTGGGCTGTGGGTGGGCTCGGGGCATGGTGGGGTGCCAGGGATGGGGCTGGCATTCCAGCTCCCCTGGGGCTGTTTGGACTCCCGGACCATGGCTCCTCATTTCCATGGTTGGCCCTCTGGCTGGAGTTGCCACCGGAGTCCAGCGGTGGTCAGCTGTGGGTGTGCACTTGGCCATTGGCTGTGTATGGGGTGGTTGGGGACGTGGCTTCAGTACGGCTGTGGGGCTGGCCGGTCGGCCTGGTGCAGCCCAGGTTGAGCTTTGGCTGTCTGCTCCTCTCCACCCTGAATGAATGGGTCTACCTCCTGGGTTCGGATGTGGGTTGCCCTCTTTAGGAGCTTTAGGTGAATGTCCTGGACCTTGGGGGGGGGTATAGAGTGTGTATGGGGAGTGTGGGTGGAATATGGCATCCATCTTGTGTGTCTTTGAATGAGTGGGTGTGAGGATTAGGGTGGGATCGTGTAAATGTGTCTGTGTATGCTTGGATACTTGCCAGGCTGGGACTTGGGCTGCCCCCTGTGCTGGTTCACCTGGGGCACCGCAGCTGGGGGTGGGGCCCTGCCCCCGCCACACTACCCTCTGGTGGGTTGTGCCTTTGCTCGCTAGTGCGCTGGTGGCTCTCTGTGTCCGTGGCTGGGTGCTTGGGCATGTGCCGGCTTGGCATGGTGGCTGCCTGGTGGGACTTGGGTCCTCTGGCCCTGTCGGGCCATGGCTGGGGGGTGGTGCGCCCTGGGGACCTGGGCCTCTGCGTCCATGACTGGATCTGCTCCAGCAAAGCAGGTCCTAGCGGGGCCTGTGAGATCGTCACTGCTGGCCCTGGGAGATTACTGTGTGGGGTTGCTGAGGGGGCTCTCCTGGTTCTCTCCTCTGGTATGCTCTGGGGGGTAGGTAAGCAGTTGTTCCTGCCCTGGTGCCCCTGTGGGGCTCCACACTTGGGGTCCCTCTCAGGGTCTTTGGCTCTGGTCTCCAAGGTCTCAGGCCTTGGAGGTCAGGTCTCTGGGTCTCCACAGTCATTAATAAACATTCCAATGGAGAAACCTTGTATATACATGCATGCTCACAACCGCACACAAACAGGTGTTCAGATCCAGGTGTTACTTAGATACGTTCTTTGTTGGGACTGTGTTGGCCACTAAATGTGTGTATGTGTGTGTGTGTGTGTGTGTGTGTGTGCATGTGCGTGCGTGCGTGCGTGCGTGTGTGTGTGTATATACTGTATATATATACTATATACTGTATATGTGTGTATGTCAAATATTTTTAAATTCAGTGTAAACAACAGTGCTACATAGTTTTCACTTATTCAGAGGAGCGGTCGCGCACAGCACCCCCACGACCGTCAAGTGTCAGATGCGTTTCTGAAAAAAAATCTTTTTAAAATGTCTCCAAATTTCAGTTAACTTCATATTGATATTATAGTGCTATACAACAAAATTAATAGCCAATTTATTTTAATTTAACCAATTTATGTTGTTATTCTACATTATTACATTTAAAATTAAACTTACAGTTCAAACAGAATAGCCTATTGTCAACATAATTATGGAGTGTGATTTATTTTCAACTCGAAATATCTTCAAACTAATGAAATATAAAGTTATTAATGAAGAAAACCTGTCTGGATAACAGCAGACTGACTGCTCGTAAAATGTACGACAGGTCTGGAACGCTCGTGAATTTTGTTTATAACGGAGGAAAATCTTAGAATACGAAAAAAATTGGTGAATGCCACAAATTCTCCTAAATCACTCGTATGCACAACTTAAAAACAAATCTGTTCATATGAACGGTTCTCGGAATGAACAGAAAACAGAGTGTATTTAGATATACAGCTGTGGCAGAGTAGTTAGGGGAGTTGTCCTGGAACCGGAAGGTCACCGGTTCGATCCCCTCTTCCAGCTGTCTCAGTTGTTGTGTCCTTGGGCAAGACACTTTACCCCTAATGCCTCTGATGTGTGTCCCATCAGTGTATGAATGTGATTGCACTGATAAGTCTCCATAGGTGATTGTACGTTAGCTTTGTAGAGACCTAATAGAGTGCTGTGTGAATGGGTAAATGAGGACACAGATTGTAGTGCGAAGCGCTTTGAGTGTTCTGGATGGGTAGAAAGGCACTATAAATGTACTGTCTATTTACCATATGATGTCTGTCATTTATCACAGTTTTTAATACATACAATTCATTTATGTAACACACTCAAACAGGTAAATTTACAGCTCTTAGGAAAAATAAATATCCTCATGCTTGGAGCTTGTTGACTGATTTCTATTTCAGTTTAAATAAATTCATAAATACTTGATGGGTTTAAGTGGTTTTTTTTCAGCTGAGTTGATGAGGGACTATTGTTTAATATATAAAGTGGTTTTGTTTGGTTGTGATAAAATATCAGTTTGACAAACAAGCTGTCTCATGAGTGAAAGGTAAAAAGTGGAGCTCAGCCTGAGGCACAGGTGGAAAACAGCTGAAATCATCTCTCTCTCTCTCTCTCTCTCTCTCTCTCTCTCTCTCTCTCTCTCTCTCTCTCTCTCTCGCTCTCTCGTGTTTCTAAACATCAGATCCCAGCAGCTAAAAAGGAACTCAGCACCACGGACTAAGAACACACCCTTCACACCCATGTCAGTCGCTCTTGGAGGAAATGATGGGAATCCTGAGGATTTTATATTTGATACAGATTTCTGGACAGGAATCAACTCATTTTTATCCAGTTAAGAAGATATTTGGACTTTTCACTCCAAAGTAAGCGTTGTGCTGACTTGATTTCTGCTTAAGTCACTCTCCTTTTACTTTTAAACCACATCTTGGGATAAGCAGAGTCACATATATCGGATTTAGCTCAGATGTAATCTTTGTATTGTCAGATGAGTTTATACATTTTATCCAGGAGGCAGATCTTGTCGTGCGTAAAAGCGGTGCCACAGATCATGACGCGCGGTGTGCTGCTTGACTCCTGCTGTGTTTGCAGCACGAAAGAAGAAAGGCTTTGAGAAAAATGATGTGTCAGCAGCCTAACAGCTTGATATTGATTGCAGCATTCACAAGATTACAGTTTTTTTTCTTTTTAAATTATTCAAAACACAGAAAAATCACAGATTTATAGTGCGAGAATATTTTACAAACTCTAACATTTCATTTTTAAAAGAAGTTTCAATTAAATCAACCACTTTTTCAAAAACAATTCCTGTGGATTTTAGTTTTTGTTCCAACATAAAGGTGGGCAGCAGATTTTTATTTTATTTTAATTTATTTTAGTGTAGTTTAGTTTATTTTAGTTTAGTTTATATAAAAATTATGGAGCCTTTGGACCAGAACTGGTTCATCATTCCAACAGATCTCAACTCCTCTGGAGTCTCTGGTCCTCCCTCCCTGTTTTCCTTTCCACATCTCCTGAACTTCTCCTTCAACATGTCCACCCAGAGCGTCCCGTTTCATGGCAGCAGCACCCTGGTGACCGCGGTCATCTCCCTCACCGTCTTCCTGATGGGTCTGACCGGTAACACTTTGGCCATTTACGTGGTGCTGCGCTACACCAAGATGAAAACTGTCACCAACATCTACATCCTGAACCTGGCTGTGGCCGATGAGCTGTACATCATGGGGCTGCCCTTCCTCACCACGCAGAATGTCCTCTCCTACTGGCCATTTGGCTCTTTCCTCTGCCGCGTTGTCATGACCGCCGACTCCATGAACCAGTTCACCTCCATCTTCTGCCTCACAGTCATGTCAATGGATCGATACCTGGCTGTGGTCCATCCGATCCGCAGCACCAAGTGGAGACACCCGCGAGTGGCCAAGGTGGTGAGCGCAGCAGTGTGGGCTGTGTCTTTCATTGTGGTCCTGCCGGTGGTCATCTTCTCTGATGTGCAGGTACCTCAGCAACCCTGACAGCCTGCTAAAATCTATAAAACATTAACAGAAAGTCCATGGAAGTAACATTTAGGATGTTGGAGGACTTAATAGGCTATTTGTGTTGTGGCCCAAAAGGGACATGTCAAACATTACCTTCCCTGTTTTTCATCATGTCTTGAAGTTCAGCTTGTCTGATCTTAAAATCTCTTCAAAGGGTCATGTTATTTCGATCACAAGAAAAGAGACAAAACGAATGTCATCATCAGATTTTCAGATTTTTTTAAATTTTATGTACGTTTTGAAAATCTGTTTTTGGTAATCAGTTCCTCTTGGTTAATGGTTGACCTTAATCTCATCACATAATTAAATTTCTTCATGTGATGAACTGATGTTTGACATAATGACACTGACCGCAATCAACAGAATTCTCTGATAGGAGCACAGTTGGACTGATACTCATCATTTTCTGTGTTTGTCCCCTGGAAAATTCATTTTAGAAAATTAAATTGTCTTTTGGCTGTTCACTCAGGGATCATATTTGAACCAGCAACCTTCTAGTCACAGACTTGCCTACTCTATTCTCTGAACCATCCTTGTAGAACTACTGCAAGAATCAGCATGCTGAATTTTGAAACATTTTGCTGAATTGTCCTGATGCATCTCAGTAATCCAGGTAAAAAATCAAAAGGAAAAAAAATTGTATAGGTCTTCTGGACGGGTTCTTCTTTAATGAAACGTTTTGTCTCTCCTCCAAGAGACTTCTTCTGTCTGAGAGTTTCAGGCAAAATTCAGGCTTTCAAGCCCTGCCTCCATGTGACTGATACTCACATCACATGGCTATCGTTCACACCTAATTAACACCTTTTGTTAACAGGGGGTGGAGTGATACTGCCAATGGCAGTGCTGTAGGAGGGGGACAACTGAAAACGGAGGCCTCCACCTCTGTTTAATGATGGATGTGCTGTTAAGTGCCAGGAGGACCGCGACCAGTTATACATCGGGGAAACAAAGCAACCACTGTTCAAAAGAATGTCCCAACACAGACGAGCTACATCTAATGGCCAGAACTCTGCAGTTTTCACTCATTTACAGGCCAGCGGTCACTCTTTCAGAGATGAGGATGTTCTCATTCTTGATAGAGAGGAACGTTGGTTTGAGAGAGGAGTAAAAGAAGCCATTTTTGTGAAGAAAGACCGTCCATCATTAAACAGAGGTGAAGGCCTCCGTTTTCAGTTGTCCCCCTCCTACAGCGCMGCCATTGSCAGTATCACTCCACCCCCWGTTAACAATAAGTGTTAATTAGGTGTCAACGATAGCCATGTGATGTGAGTATCAGTCACCTGGAGGCAGGACTCAAAAGCCTGAATTTTGCCTGAAACTCTCAGACTGAAGAAGTCTCTTGGAGGAGAGACGAAACGTTTCATTACAGAAGAATCCGTCCAGAAGACCTACACATTTTTTTTCCTTTTGATTTTGTTGAATTGTTAAATACTTGAAATATTAAATAAATTAAAACAAGCAAAACTGTAGCTAAAATCAGCAAATAGAAGATGAAAACTAAATTTATTGAAACCATAGCTAAAGGCTAAGATTAGCAATGGGTAAAAATTTAAAGGAGCAAAAGTGCAACAAAAAAGCTAAAACAAGTATGAGAGTAGTTTAATGCTGAGATTAGCTAAACTGCTGCAAAAAGCTAAATTAAGCACAACGGTAAATAAAAGCTAAAACAGGCAAAATACTGGCCTAAAAAATTTAAAATAGTAGCTAAAAGCTAACATTTACTAATCTTTAGCAAACAGTACAGGTGGCACGGTGGCTCGGTTGGTAGAGATGACGCCTCTCAGCAAGAAGGTCGCCATATCAAATCCTGGCCCGAGGACCTTTCTGGGTCTGTTCAAAAGAATGAGTCAGCACAGATGAGCAACATCATCAGGTCAGGACTCTGCAGTTTACACTCATCTACAGGCCAGCGGTCACTCTTTCAGGGTGAAGATGTTCTCATCCTTGATAGAGAAGAGTGTTGGTTTGAGAGAGGAGTGAAGGAAGCCATATTTGTGAGGGGGGAAAAAAACGTCCACTATTAAACAGAGGTGGAGGCCTTCGTGTCCAGTTGTCCCCCTCCTACAATGCTGTTATTGCAAGCATGACTCAGCCCCCTGTGAGCAAAAAATATGAATCAGGGCCCTAACGATAGTCAAGTGATGGGGCACATGACCCTCCATGAACCAATCAAGGCACTAACAACCAGTTGTTTGGCTGATGGTCCTCTTTTGCCGGCCCGGCACGCTGTCCATCTTTGACCAGGATGCGAAACTTTCATGTGTTATTAGTTTGGTTTATTAGATAACAGAAGAGGGTAATATATTTAATATTAGAAAACCAAAATACTACTATTAAACCAGACTTTCAGATTTGGCTCAAATTTCTGTCAGCGGTAGCTCTATGAGCCACAGAATTTCCCTGAAAGTTTCATTAAAATCTGAGGTGAATTTATTTTATAATTATTTTCATATTTTACAGGGAAATGATTCCTGCAATGGAGGTTTGCCTCCTCTGCCCTCCCATCCTACTTCTGTTGTCCAGGAAAGAGAATAAACATCCGAGAATGGCTGGAGAAGATCTCAGAGCGGCTTGCTGCCGAAATGTCACTGTGTGGCAAGTATCGTCTGCGGAATTACAAACCGATGGGAGCTGCGCCCCCGCTCGTACTCTGAAATGTTTCAAACTTTATTAACCGTTCTCTGTGGTGTAATAAACATTTCTGAAAGAGTAATAAATATTTCCTGAAAGTTCCATATAAATCCATTTGGTAGTTTTTGTGATGTAACCCTGAGAAGGCAGCTGGCTAGCTTTAGCAAAACTATGCCGTTGTCAGGGGCAGAGGAGGCTAATCTCTGTTTCAGGGCTCCTTTGCCTGTAAAATATGAAAATGAATAAATACATAATATAAAATTAATCCATCACGGATTTTGATGAAACTTTCAGGGAAATTCTGTCGCTTATAGAATTACTGTTGACAGAAATTTGAGCCAAATCGCATGGCTGGTTTATTACTTGGATTTTGGTTTTCTAATATTAAATATATTCCTGTCTTCTGTCATCACATAAACCAAACTAAAAACACGTGAAAGTTTCAGGAAATGTCTAACGCATCCCGGTCAAAGCTGGACAGCGTGCCAGGTCAACTCAGCTCTGAGTCCCAGGGGAGGAGCTAAACCCACTGTGCTTGAATGCATACAACCATACAAAGGATTGATAAGTGCCTTCCAACCTACTAGAAGGGAGAGGAGGAACTGTATGGACACATTGTATGGGACTGATAATAATAACTTACATTTAATGGACTAACAACTTTGGAAGCGGATCTTTGTGTCAGTATCTATGCTATAGTTTTGTGTTGACTTTTTAAGAATAAGAATTTAAGGCCCCAAATCAAAATCTTAAAACAACATACTGCTGAAATGTTATAAAGTGATGAAAACACATAACACATCAAAACCTACTTCTAGAATATAATATTGTTTTGTCCATTTTTGTAAGGTAGAAATCAAAAATAGATAGTGAATGGCTGATTGGCATTCATTTTAAATGAGCTGTTTGTTATAAAATATTATAAATCTGAAATCTTCTGCTTTAGGACACATTTAACTCTTGCAACATGAACTGGCCTGATCCAAAGGGTGTGTGGTCGACGGCCTTCATCATTTACACGGCCACAGTGGGCTTCTTTGGACCACTGCTCATCATCTGCCTCTGTTACCTCCTCATTGTTATTAAGGTATTACACTGATCCTAAAGAGCTCATGAATTTATTCTTAATTCTCAAACTGTATTTCTCTACATCTACCCTCATTTGTTAGATAACAAAATGTACAATGTCTGCCATCATGTTCCAGGTGAAGTCCTCTGGGGCTCGAGTGGGCTTCACTAAACGCAGGCGTTCAGAGCGGAAGGTGACTCGGATGGTCGTGGTGATCGTGGTGGTGTTTGTGCTCTGCTGGCTGCCCTTCTTCATTGTCAACATGGTCAACCTGGTTGTCATCATCCCAGAGTCTAGCGCTACCGCTGGGATCTACTTTTTTGCTGTGATTCTGTCTTATGCCAACTCCTGTGCTAACCCACTGCTGTACGGCTTCCTGTCCGACAACTTTAAGCAGTGCTTTAAAAAGGTTGGTGAAACAATTCATACATTTCAATTAAAGGCCTTGCAGTCCTTGAAGTAATGCAGGACTGGTTTTGTGCCTTTTGTGCCAGTTTTAGAATAAAATGGATGAATGATCTTTTATGTTGAGAAACTGATTGCTATTTTGACTCAAAACATAAATTTTTAAAGGAACAGTAAAACAATATACTATGTCTCATTTGGCAACCCTACCAGGTACATTACTGAAGTGGTTCCATGTAAACAGGTGATTTTTCCTTGTATTCACCCCAGTAAACATTAACATTTCCAGAGACCAGTCTCGTGTTAACAGGGCCTTAGAAATGCTCTCCGTCCGTCCATCCATTACAATTTCAGAGAGTGGTAACTTTCACACAGAAAGGCTAATATACACCAAAATTGGTAGGGGGCATCCATGTTGCATGCCCGACCATACTGAGGTCATATGACATCATCAAAGCCCTGCCCCCTAAAACAGGAAGTGATTATTTTATTTTGCTTGTAAAGCTCCATCTCTGACCCTCTTCACTTAATCAGCAGCAAATTGTGTCAGAACACAGACAAGAACTTGATCTCATTTGCTTTCAAGCACAAAGACTTTTTGGTGACAGGTGTGGTCATGGCAGTGCGGTGAACTCAGACATCAAGCCACTGACATATGTTTGGCTCTAATTTACGCATATTTCAGCCAATCTGCACCCAATTCATTATGATCGATAATCCACCCCACTACAGGAATACAGTACATCGGATGGGAGAAAAAAGCATCTAGCTGAAGGCTGCAGAGCAACAATAGCAATAGATAAACTGTATATTAATGGCCAGTTGTTTAGAGACCCTGAGATCACTCCTTGGCTGTATTAGATCTAACGTCAAGGTTAGTGAAACTCGGATTTATTATTGTTATTATTATTATTATTATTAGTAGTAGTAGTAGTAGTAGTAGTAGTAGTAGTAGT